ACCTCTCGCCTAATTCATCAGTTTTTTTGTTTTTTTTTTTTTTTTTTTTTTGCCTCTCTGTGGCTCTTTCTTTTTGTCTATGGCTTTGTCGTCTCTTTTTTTTCTTCTTTTCCTTTTTTTTTTGTCTTTCTCTTCTCTCTCTGTCTGTCTCTCTCTCTCTCTGTCTCTCTCTCTCTCTCTCTCTCTCTCTCTCTCTCTCTCTCTCTCTCTCCTCTCTCTCTCTCTCTCTCTCTCTCTCTCTCTCTCTCTCCTCTTCTCTCTCTCTCTCTCTCTCTCTCTTCTCTCTTCTCTCTTTCTCCTCTCTCTCTCTCTCTTTCTCTCCCTCCTCTCTCTCTCTCCCTCTCTCCCTCTCTCTCTCTCTCTCTCTCTCCTCTCTCTCCTCCTCTCTCCCTCTCTCTCTCTCTCTCTCCTCCCCTCTTCCTCCCCTCCCTCCCTCCCCTCTTTCCCTCCCCCTTCCCCCTCTCCCTCTCTTCCTCCCCCCGTCCTCTCTCCTTCATCCTTGCGCTTAATAACCACAGAGGAATGCAAATAGAGCTTCTATTGCACCAACGAAAGGAAAATGGGGGTGGAATTTTTTCTTTCTTTTTTTAGTAAGTATTTTTAAGCGCCATGAGGGGAAAGTAAGCTTTGTCTGGCGCCATAGGGGCATAATCAGCATTTTCTGGCGGCATGATGCGACTTTTTTCTTTTTTCTTCCTTTTATTTATTTATTTTTGACTCTTCTTCATTTTTTTCTTCTTCCTCCACCTACTCCTCCTCCTCTACTTCTTTCTCCTCTTCTTTTTCCTGCTCTTCTTCTCCTTCTCTTCCTTCTCCTCTCCTTCTTCATTTTTTTCTCCTCCTCTTCCTCTTTTTCTTTTTCCTGTTCCTGTCCTCCTTCTTCCTCCTCCTCCTCCTTCTCTTCCTCCTCCTCCTCCTCCTTCTTCTTTCTTCTCTTCTCTTCTTCTTCTTCTTCCTCCTCCTCTCTTCTTCTCTTCCACAAGATCTTACTCCAATTTCAACCAGCCCGCGGCAGTCCAGGCGTTGTGCTTGACCATCTGACATAAAGACCCGGATGACGCAAGAGGGAAATGTCTTCCGATGTCATAAGATTTTTATATTTGCCTTTTATGACAGTTACAAAATACAGGAGCCATATTTGGAAAAGCGCGGAACGTCACGGTTGGCACACGTCCGTTTTTAAAAGATTGTGAGATGACATACTTTTGTCTAAATAGAGAGGGAGGGAGTGAGAGTGGGAGAGGGTGAGGAGAGAGAGAAGGATAGAGAGAGGAGAAGAGAGAGGAGAAAGAAAGAAAAGAGAGAGAGGGAGAGAGAGAGAGAAGAGAAATAGAGAGGAGGAGAGAGAGAGAGAGATTGTTTGTGTGTTTGCGCGCGTGCGTGTGTACATAATGGGGGTGATTTGTCTCCCCGAGAGGCCGGAATCTTATGACGAGACAATTGGGGCCGTGACAGCGAAATTGGGCGGCAGGCGCCTTGTGTCAGCATCTGCTCCGAACACGCGTCGTCAGCCCCTTCGTCAGCTGCTGTTGGCGACGGGCGATCGCAGCCTTATTCGGCCACCTGATGCGCCGCCGCTGTCAGGTGATGCAGCGACGACCTCATTCGGTTTTTTATTAAGGCCATATTTTGTCTCCGTGGGCTCCTCCGCCGCGTCCGGCGCGCCTTTCAAGGGGCCAGATCGGAGGCCGGATTTAGTGTATCATCTTGGGTAATTGAAAGTTGGGAATGTGTATATGCGTGTGTATGTATGCATGTATATGTGTGTGTGTATATATATATATATATATATATATATATATATATATATATATATATATATATATATATATTACAATATATATATATATATATATATATATATATATATATATATATATATATATATATATATATATATTATATATATAATATATCACAGCACACATCCACCACCACCACCACGAAGCTTCCGCGCTCATCAACCCGCCTCCCCCTCCCCCCCCCCTGCACCCCTCCCCGCCCGGAGCATTGCCCAAGCCCCGCCGCGCCGTGCAACACCGGAGCGCAACGGGAACGGGAAGAGGCCTGGCATCCGGGCGCGCGGAGGAGCGAAAGGTTCCTGCGACACGCGAGCGAAGGGCGAGGCGCAGCGGCCGCAACTGGAGCACGGATGGCCGACCGCGCTGCCGTGTGTCCCTGCAGAAGTGATCGCGGAGGTGGCGCAAGGGCGGGAATCGTCTTAGGCGCTTCTCTGATCCGGTTTTTTTCTTCCGCTTCTTCTTTTTTCTTTGCTTCTCTCTGGTCCGTTTTTCTTTCACTTCTTTTCTTTCTTTCTTTTTTCTCTTTTACTTTTTTGTTTTCTTTTTCTTTTCTTTCTTTTTGTATCTTTTTTTTTTCTTTCTTTGTCTTCTTTTCTTTCTTTTTGTTTCCTTATCTTTTGCTTTCTTTTTTCTTTTTTTTTCTTTTTCTCGTCTTCATTTTTATTTCATTTTCTTTCTCTTTCTTTTTCTGTTTCATTTATTGATCTGTTTATTTGTCTTCTTTTTTTGACTTAGGAGGTTTCATTTTCCTTCGTTTTTTATTAGCTTTTATTTGTTGATTTTGGGATTTATTTTTATAATTGTTATTACTCTTCTTATTCGTAAGTTGTTTTGGTTTTAAAATCATTAAGTTTTTTGTTACGTTGCCGTTATTAGATCCTCACCTGCTTCGTAAAAGTATGAAAGGTATGAACGAGAATGAATATCTTCACAGTACAAGAGACATATTTGACCGGTTTCGAATATATCTCCGTCAGAAATACATGTATTTCTGACGAAGACATATTCGAAACCGGTCAGATAATCTCTTGTATTGTGAAGATATTCGTTCTCATCATACTTCTACATTTGTTAACATGAATATAATTCTGCTTCGTTTTATTTACCGTCGCTCAGCATCCTGGATTTGTCCCAAATATTAGTCACTAAATGAAAACCAAATGAAATGCCACAATGATCATTAAAGGAGGGAGGGGAAGGAGATGGGGGATTGGGGGGAGGGGAAGGGAGAGGGGGGGAAAGGGAGATGGGGGGAAGGGGAAGGGATAGGGGAAGGGAGAGGGATGGAGGGGGAAGGGTTTCTGGTTTCTGTGGATGGATTAGGGAGAAGGAGAGAGGGAGATACAGACAGAAAGAATGAGGAAGAAAGAGAGAGTGGAGTCAGGTAGGAGGAAGTGAGAGAGAGAGAGAAAGAGTGAGAGGAAAGAAACAAGTTGTATGAATGAAGTGTAAAAAAAAAAAAAAAAAAAAACAAGTATGAATGAACTGAAAAAAGAAAAAAAAGAGACAGAAGAAATGAATCGGAGAGATTACACACATTAAAATAACGGAAACCCGGGGCACCATCCCACGGGGGAGGAAAGAGTTTAGAGCGAAGCGAGAGGCGGAAGGGTGATCCTTGGGGCGGGGGTGGGGGGGGGGAGACTCCCTGGGGCAGCGGAACAGGTGACTCAGGACTGCGGACCGGAGGTGAAGACTTAGGGCTTGGGGACTTAAGGTCATGGGCTTGGACTGGATTTAAGATTTAAGACTTGAGGAGTTAAGCCCTAAGATTGGGGACTGGATTTTTTAGGCCTAGGAATGAGAACTTTTGGGGGGGCTTAGAACTGAAAACATGATACCAAGGACAGAAGATTCGAGCCGCCAGTTTGTTAAGTGTGAGGCCCGACCCAATGAATATTCACATATACGGACGTGCATATCCACAGAAATATATGGATCTCTGTCTATAATCTGATAGATACATTTATCTATCTGTCCGGTCTAGAAGTGATAGACAAGCATTTATTTTTTGTGTATGTTCGTTGGGTCGGGCCTCGCACAATTTTAACAAACCGGCCGTAGGACTCTAGGACTTTTGGTACCTAGGACTAAGGACTTTAGCCTTTGAACTCTGAACTTTGAACTGGGATTTGTTTCGACTTGGGCCTGGGACGTCAGACTTGAGACAGAACAGAGAAATTACGACTGAAGACTTGGAGACTTTCCTGAGATAAATTAATACTTGAAAAGGTATGGATTTGAATGAATATCTTCACAATACAAGAGATATATTTGACCGGTTTCGAATATATCATGTATTTCTGGCGAAGATATATTCGAATCCGGTCAAATACATCTCTTGTATCGTGAAGATATTCGTTCTCATCCATACCTTTTCTACATTTGTCAACATTTTCTACATTTGCGAATACGGTTCACAAATAAACGCGCCGGAGCCATACGTCACGAAGAGGCGCTAATTGCACGTTTCCGCCGAGTGTTAAAACCCCGTGCAGTTCCTCGCGAGTCGCCGCCATCGCCACTCTCGCTCTGCCGAAGCCTCCTGAAGCCTCGTTTTCTCGTCTCGAACCGCCTCGGAGGAAAGGAAAAGGGCTGCGGTGGGAGGGGAGGCACAGCTGACCCGGGGGACTTTGGGGAGAGAGGGGTGGAGGGAGGGAGGGGTGGAGGGGAGAAGGGTGGAGGGAGGGAGGGGGGGGAGGAAGGGGAAAAGGGGATGGTGGGAGGGAGAAGGGGGTGGGTGGCAGGGGGCGGCAGAGATGGGAAGGGGGAAAGGGAAAAGGTGATGGAGGTGGGATGGGCAGGGGAAATGGGGAGGGAGGGTGAAGGAGGAGAGGAAGGGGAGAGGGAAAGGAAGAAGGGGTGGAGAGAGGACAGGAGGGGATGAGGGAAATGAGGAAGGGAGGAGAAATGGGAGAAGAGATAGAGAGAGGAGAGGGAAAGGAGATGGAAGAGGACGCGAAAAGGTAGAGAAGGGGGAGAGGATAGAACTAGCACTCGGAAAGGAGATGAGAGAAGAGGGGTGAATGGGAGAGGGAGGATGTAAGAGGAGGGGGGGAAGGGGGCGGGGAAGGGGAAGGGGGGGAGGGGAGAGGAAGAGGGGGAAGGAGGCGGAGGGAGAGGAGGAGAGGGGGAGGAGGAGGCAGGGACGTCACGAAGGAAGATTTACGCTAAAGACGCTTCACCGCGAAACCCAAGATGGAAGGGCCTGGGAGAGGGCGGCCGTCCGTCCAGCTGATGGCCACATTACGTCACTCGGGCCTCACGCTCCGCCCATCACGCCCGCGCGCCGCCCGCTCCGAAATGCCGCCCAACGAGTGCACTCAATCCGGGAGTTCGTCATCCAGTTTGTTGTCACGTATGTTTTAGATTCATTGGCGTATTGTGGCGTCAGAAAGCTGCTTGCTGGTGGTGTTTCTTTGGTTTCGTGTCTGGTTCTTTCTGCTTTGAGGGGCAGAGCTAGGCATTCTGGGACTCTATCTCTTCTCTTTTTTTCTCTTCTCTTCTCTCTCTCTCTCTCTCTCCTCGTCTGTCTGTCTGTCTCTCCTCTCTCCTTCTCCTCTCTCTCTCTCTCCTTTCCCTTTTCCTCTATCATCCATCCATCCATCTCGCCTTCCCGCCGCGTTCAGCGAAAGGTCGCAGGTCATCCTTTCGCCCCCCCCCCACCACCACCCCCCTTGCCACTCTTCAACCACAGGCATCCGTCACCCCGTTCAACCGCGCTGTTGGTGTCTCTGCTCAAGCCGGTGTCTGTTGTTTTTTTTTTTAGTTTTTTTTTTCTTTTTGTTTTCGTTTTGTTTTCGTTAATTTGTTATCGATGGCGATCTCCTCCTTCGGTTCCTTGTTGTACTTGGTGATTCATTTCGGTCGCTGTCAGTCGATCGTCAGGCCCCTTCGTCTCGTTGTCAGTTTTTCGTCAGGTCCCTTCGTCTCGCTGTCAGTTTCTCGTCAGCCCCTTCGTCTGGCTGTCAGTCTATCGTCAGCCCCTTCGTCGCAGTCAGTTTTTTTTTTGTCAGCCCCTTTCGTCTCGCTGTTTCTAATCAGCTGTCAGTCACTCGTCAGCCCCTTCATCGCTGTCAGTCTCTCTTTAGCCACTTCGTTTCGCTGCCGGTCTCTCGTCAGCGACTTCGTCTCGCTGTCAGTCTCCCGCAGTCTCCACGTCAGCCCCTTCGTCGGCTTGTCAGTCACTTTCAGCCATCTTCGTCTCGCTGTCAGTCTCCCGTTCAGCCCCTTCGTTTCGCCTGTCAGTCACCTTCAGCCATTTCGTCTCGCTTCAGTCTTTTCTCTCTCTAATTTCGTCTAGCTTGTCGTAGTCTCCATTATCAGCCATTTCGTCTTCGTAACTGTCAGCCCCCAGTTCAGCCCCTTCTGTCGCTGTCAGTCTCTCTTTAGCCACTTTCGTTTTCGCTTGCCAGTCTCTCGTCAGCCATTTCGTTCCTCGCTGTCAGTCTCCCGTTCATCCTCCTTCGTTCTACGCTGCTCAGTCCCTTTATATCCATTTCGGTCTCGCTGTCAGCCACCCGTCAGGCCCTCTTCGCCTTCGCCGCGGCAGGCCGGCCTGCTTCGTCCCACCGAGTCGAGAGGGACGCGAGGTTGACCCCCGCGGCGCTTGCGAGTCTTAAATCATCTCCTCAAAAGGCCATTCTTGGGGGAGATGGGACGACAAGAGTGAAAGGCGACACAGGAACAGACAGATAAATAGATACGATAATTAGGCAGACAGATCAACCCGACTGACAGATTAGATAGATTAAGAAGGACAGGCAGACACACAAACGAAAAAGCATAGACACGATAATAACACAAACTCTTGGCACATAGACAGCTCAGATGACATCACAGTCAGGCAGACAGATAGAATAGTCTAGTACATCCAGACACACCACAGACAGAAAGACAGACAATACCAACAAGAACTCTCGCGTCCTTCCATTCTTAAGGCGTTCGGAGCCAGAGAGTGCCCGACCCCTCTANGCTACTTGCAAAAGAAATATTATCATGTCACATGCATAAATGTTGAGTTACATTTTAGTAGGTAGTTGTAAAATAATGTTGTATTAACATTAAATTTATTAAATATTATTGGTTATTTTATTATTTAGATAGATAGCGATTAGATTAAGGATAGATTATGTGAGTATCGAAGAATTTCATTGTCGATTGATGTGAGCTTGATATCTCGTACCTCAAGATAGAGTAACGCTCGATTATCGATCGGGACTTACAGTAGAGCATATGATAGAATCTCACACACTGCAGATAGTATTAGAATATTCATGAAGATAAAAAAAGGATACGCATAACACTATTATACATCTATGTAGAAATAACTTTTATAACATATCAAGATAATAGAGTTTGTAAGGAATTATAGATCAATAATGTGATAAAGTCATAACTGAAGAGAATTACTGATATATCTTCTTAATTATCTACAGTATCATCTAGATTTTGTTAGTTCGTTGATGATGATTTATAAGCTATTATAACTTGCAAAATTATGTATATATGCAATCATTTAACATATATATATACTCTAATATATATTCTACTCAGTTATATCACTATGCTGAAAAACAATAAGAGCACTGAGTAGCCTTTCATTAATAGTGAATTATTTGTATTTAAATGTCAAAGTATGTAGGTTTACACCTCTATTTGTCCCTACATATGGATTATACCTATATCAGTGATGAGT